TAGATTTACAAGACGACACACCATTTAAACAAAGACCGAGGCGAATACCACCGGCCATGTTTGAAGAGGTCAAAGATCATTTAAGAAAACTATTAGAAGTAGGAATTATCAGGAAGTCGAAGTCACCATGGTCGAGCAATGTTGTCCTTTGTCGCAAGAAAAACAACGAACTACGCATGTGTGTAGATTATCGCCAGCTAAACCTTAGGACAAAAAAAGACTCCTATGCGTTACCAAGGATAGAGGAAATACTGGATGCGTTAGCAGGAAATAGATTCTTTACCATCTTAGATATGAAAAGTGAGTACCATCAGGTTGAATTACATGAGAGTCACAAGGAAAGAACTGCGTTTACAGTTGGACCTTTAGGCTTTTATGAATACCTTCGCATGCCATTCGGTCTAGTCAACGCACCTGCTACATACCAAAGGCTTATGGAAGAATGTTTCGAAGGACTCCATCTGGATATATGCTTCATCTATTTGGATGACTTGATAATCTTCTCCAAGACATACGAAGAACATTTAGAACGTTTGGAAAAGATCTTTCAGCGACTAAGGGAAGTAAACCTAAAACTATCACCGAAGAAATGCGAATTCTTAAAAAGCAAAGTGAAATATGTAGGAAACATTGTCAGTGAGGAGGGGATAGAACCAGACCCGGAAAAGATCAGCAAAGTACAGAACTGGCCGCAGCCAAGAAACTCAGAGGAAGTTCGCCAGTTCCTGGGTTTTGTTGGGTATTACCGGAGATTCATCGAGGGATTTTCAACAATAGCACGCCCATTGAATGACCTCCTACCAAATACCAAGAAGAAATCTAGAAAGGGTGTAAGGACATCAAAAGAACCAGACAAGTGGAGATGGGGCAGTGAACAGGAACAAGCCTTCAAGAAACTTAAGGAGAAACTTACAACTTATCCAATTCTAGGATTCCCTAATTACTCCTTACCCTTTGAACTTCATACAGATGCCTCATCATCAAGCATCGGCGCTGTATTATATCAGACGCAGGACAACTTCAAACGCGTCATAGCATACGCTAGCAGGAGTTTATCAAAATCAGAGAAGAATTATCCTGTTCATAAATTGGAGTTCCTGGCTTTGAAGTGGTCTGTGTGTGAGAAATTCAGAGATTACTTATATGGAGGAACATTCAAGGTTTATACAGACAACAACCCACTCACGTACGTTTTAACATCAGCGAAACTTGATGCGACGAGCCAAAGATGGATTGCAGATCTGGCCAACTTTAACTTTGAAATTCAGTATCGACCCGGATCACACAACGCAGATGCAGATGGACTAAGCAGGATACCAAATCAGGAAATCATTATGTAACATCTGATTCCATTAAGACCATATGTAACTCAGCTGTATCCAATCATCCCTATGTACAATGCTTGTCCATATCTCCATCTTTAGTTGACAACCAATTACCAGACTTAAGTGATCAGACAGAGATTGATGTTCGTCGTCATCAGTATAATGACCCAGTGTTAAGGTTTTGGATACCGTACGTACGGGATCAGTACAAGCCAGCAAAACACCATCTAACCATACAACAATATGCAATACCATGCCTTACTACACAAGAATTTTACCAAACTTAGACTACGAGACGGGATACTCATTAGAGAAACAACGGTGAATGACAGAAAGAAATCCCAGATACTTTTACCTAGATCATGCATTGGAACAGTATTATACCATCTACATACTGACATGGGACATCCAGGCCGTGAGAAAACCATCAGCTTATTAAGGGATAGATTCTATTGGCTCGGTATGACAACAGACACAGAACATTTCATTTCCAACTGTAGAAGATGTCTCTTAAGGAAAACACCAACAACAAGACCTCCACTTATTAACATCAGAACATCACAACCTTTAGATTCACTTGTATGCGTAGACTACCTTAAACTAGAAAAATCAAAAGGAGGATACGAAAACATCTTGGTTATCACCGATCACTTCACTAGATTTGCTCAGGCTGTAGCTACAAGGAACCAAACTGCCAAAACCACAGCTGAGGCATTATACCATCATTTTATTGTTCATTATGGGATACCTTTAAGACTACACAGTGATCAGGGTGCAAATTTCGAGTCTAAGATCATACAGGAGCTCTGCAACATTCTTGGAGTTAGCAAGTCAAGAACAACGCCTTACCACCCCATGGGCAACGGCTTAACAGAACGCTTCAACAGGACTCTTCTCAAGATGTTAGGAACACTTGAAAATTACCAAAAACAGGATTGGAAGTCTCACATTTCAACTTTAGTTCACGCTTATAATTCAATGAAACAGGAAACAACAGGACAATCACCTTTCTTTCTTATGTTTGGACGAGAACCTAGACTTCCAATAGATCTCATTTTCAAAACAGATGAATATCGAACCAAATCAACATGAAAACCTGAATTCCTACATCAAATCTTTGAAATCTAAATTAGAGCATTCATATCATTTGGCACAGAAATCTATCCAGAATGCCCAGGGAAGACAGAATGTAAGTTGACTTTTACTAATTTCATTATCTCTATATAATTGTTTATCTATTTAATTCCCAAATATTAATATTCTAATATAAAGTATGAAGATTCAGTCTTTGTGATTATTTTATGACTTTGTAAATAATGAAAAATAATTATATCATATATCAGTGTATTGTATATTTTTGAGAGCAATACAGTAAAGTTGTGTTTTATTTATATGCAGATCACTGAGTAAGATTTCACTCATCATATTGTATATGTGGAGTGTACGGGCTTTATATCACATATAGGTATGATGTATATATATTTTGAATATTGTCCATTAATTATATTATTCTGGAAAAGTTCAGTATAATTGATCTTATTGTTTCATCTTCAGAAGAAGAATTATAATTTGAAGGCAAGAGATGCTGTTATTCAGCCTGGAGATAAAGTACTAGTAAAGATCGTTGCATTTGAAGGCACACACAAGTTATCAGATAAATGGGAGGAAGAGCCATATATTGTAGAAAGTCAACCAAACAAGGATGTTCCTGTGTATATCGTGAGAAAGGAAAACAACAGCACCTTTAAGAGAACTTTACATCGGAACCTTTTACTACCAATAGGACACTTAGATGTTGATTTACTAAGAGAAAGGCCTAAGCCAGCACCTAGGAAAAGGATAAAGCCTAGAGTCACGAGAAGAACCAAGCAACTGACTACCTCACATGAGGATAACAGTGACTCAGATAGCAGCAACGAGGAGATGATAGTACAGGAGGCAGCATCCACTGCACATAGCAAGGATAGTGCACCTGCTTCTGAGACATGAAGTAGCCAACAGGAGAATTTATTGGCCAATGAGGAAGAGAGCGCTGAAGATGAGGGTAGTTCCGGAATACCTTCACCTGCTGAAGCCCATTTCATATGTACTCCTAGTCATTGTACGCCAGCATCTACGGTGATGTAGGACCTCTACTTTTTAAGGTTTCAACCGAAAGACCCGTTATTTTCACTTCGGGTCCTTGGTGAAGGAACTTCTTAGGTTTATACGCTGTATAGATGTAGTTTAAGACCGAAGCATCTGCTTCATAGCTGAAAATTCTAAAAAGGTCAAGTTACATGTAAACTTTTTCTCTTTCACTGACGTATATAATGTTTATGGTGTTGATGTCTACCTTACTGATTTAGTACGCAAGGATACAAATTCCAGACAGACTACCGTAAAAACGTTGATGTTACAGGACTTCAAAAAAATAGTTTAAATTCAACATTTCGCAACTCCTTCTGTCTGTCAACATAATAACTTGTTTGAAAGCACAATAAATTGTATGGTTGTATTTTTACTGACATGCTCAATAACATTTTTAGGCGATTGTTTTCACATGCACTAATCTTGACTATGAATTATCTTATCGAGGCCAGGGCTTGTAGCGGGTGTGACCGGTCGACAATGGGTGCTTACTCCTCCTTGCCACCCGATTCCACCTCTGGTGTCTCCAGGGGTAGTTTTCTGCCTTTTTTTTTTTTTTTCTTTTTTACAATTTGCAATGTTTAAGGGATTTATAAGCTCAATCATTGTTGCTATTCACAATAATTTCTTTGCATAAATGCTTGTTTAAGGGGAAAATGTTGATCTACAATACGAACTCCAAAAAATTGAGAAATTATGCTTACTGCTACATTTAACTCATGTACAAATCTTGTAAGAGATAATTGTATATAGTGAGGTGCAGTTCATAAGTGTCATTTCGAATGAGGTGGCTTTAACGATGACCATTCTGAGAGAAGTATATGATTTTTTAGCCGGGCTTATTGCTCAAAGAGCAATTGCCGGCTTATGTCATCCTGTTCAAGACAGGATGTTGACCCCATAGTCGCCATTTTAAAGCTACGTGTAAAAATATAGTTCTTACTCTCAACCGCTTCTGAGATAATACAAACGCTAAATAAAGCAACATAAATAAAACGAAGTTTTATCTAAATAAATAAACATTAGTAGTAATGACTTTGAAAACTTAAATCAAAGAACATAGTTTATTAGCGTAAGGATTTCTGATAATCAGTGTTATCTAGCTCTCTACACTAACGAGAAAAAACAAGAGAGGGAACCAGACTGGCCTGTTTGTTTACATTCAGCCGTAGTACCAGATTAATTTTGATTCTGACAAAATCGGACCTTGGTATTTGGATCGAAAACTCACTGTCAGTGTCTTATAATTTATATTGCTAGTTTTAAAACAATTTTCTCATCAGAATTTTTAATCTGATATTCTTGTTATTTATTTGTTAATACAATATAAACGTATGATTCATGTAAGAAATTCATTTCACTCTGTAAATGAGCCCGGCTCTCTGTACTTCTGAGTACTTTGATTATATACTAGGCGTGTCCCTTAACACAGACGCACATGTAACGGCATAATGAGAAATAATTATACTGAGCTCTTTGAGAGTTCTCAAGTCGTAATTGTGCTGAATACGTTAGACGAATAGAACAAAAAACTAACGACAAAGATTTTTTTGTGTACCTTTTTTTATTTTTTTTTTTTATAAATAACAAATATTTATTTACAAACATTGCAAAAACTTGTGGATTGTATCTTCACCATACTTTCTTTAGAACTGAAATGATAAAAAAGAAGTAATATTAGATTAAAATCATTAGACAAAATCGGATGAATTGAAATTGACAAGAAACATGGACATTTTAATGTTCCAACATGTGAGGGACAAAGATTTTTTTTCCTCATGCTTTTCCTTGTTCTAAGCCTTGATTAGTTATGAATTTAGGAAATAGTTTCAGGTGATCTTCCGCATGTAATCAAACATGACACTTTCAACCTTTTAATTAAAATAGGTAATACTAAGATTTCAGTTCATTTAGTGCCAAATTATCAATAGCCTAGTAATAAAATTAGTGATATATTTAGATTCTATAATAACCTATTTCTTAGAAAAAAAAACGAAGACGTTTTGTGTAATTGTAGTTTTGAAAAGAAGCAGTATTTATCTGATATCTAGATGCAAATTTAATAAAAAAAAAAAACTTACATGGTAATCTCTTTTGGATGGATAATAAGGAATATCGTATTTTCCACCTCCTAAACGAGAACCAAACAAGGATCCACCTCCAAAGGCAGGGCTGCGTCCAGAGAAAGGTTTGGAGAGAACGCTGTCAAAAATTCCAGATCCCTGACCAAAAGCGGAGGCTGAGGCTGATGCAGAAGCACCGGCTCCCAAGAAAGGAGAACTTTGTCCATGGTATGGTCTGTACTGGGGAAATTGAGGAATTTTGGGGTAACCGCCACAAAGATGATAGTTCTGAAGGATGTTTGGGTATGTGCAGGGGTTGTAGTGGTTGAAGTTGTAATAATGACGATTAATGGTGATCTGTCTACCAAGTCCTCCAGCAAAGGCTGACGCTGAGGCGGAGGCCCTTGCACCACCAAGACCTCTAAAACCACCTCCTGTTGAAGCTCCGGCCAGGGCTGTGGCAGCGGCAAGTGCCCCACTATTACCAAACTGAGCACCTCCTCCTCCCTGTACGAGGTACACGGTCCTACCCCCTCCAACACCAACATTGGATCTAGAGAAGGCTAGAGCGGCTGCCCTTGCGTCAGCAGCTGCCTTTGCGCTTGCTTCAGCTGCTGCTCTTGCTTCAGCGGCTGCCCTTGCTTCGGCGGATGCTCTAGCTTGAGCTATAGCTACAGCATTAGCACTGGAAACAGCACCGCCAACAGAGACTGCGAGTCCAGCTCCAGATCCGCTACCGACTCCACCACCACCGCCTCCTGCACCACCACCAGCACCTCCACTTCCGCCCCCTCCGCTGCCGCCGCTCCCTCCGCCGCCGCCGCCGCCACCGCCGCCGGATTGGCTAGCTTGCCATTGTTGGAACTGTGAAAAGAAGTCGTGGCAATTTTGTCCATTGTTACCATTACAATTCCATCCTCCATTGTCCTCCTCATCAGCCAAAACGAGGCCCAAGAGGGCGACAAATAATAAAATATTCATGGTCGCTTGCAACTGAAATGCAGAAAGGAAAATATTAAGAAGAGTATTCCTTTCAGTTTCTTGTATTTTTTAGAGTTGCGGAATATTTTAAAACAATTGCTCTTTAGTTCTTTTTGTGCTACAATAAAATATTTTGAAAAAATGAAAAAAAAAAAATCTTGATTTTTTAATAAAGAATTTTTTTTTTAAAGAAGTAAATTCTTATATAGATAGAATTATTTTTTATATGAAAGAAAGAGAAAATGTTGAATTCACCACATGGATTTAAATTTCGCTTTTAAAATGGGATATTTCACTTTCATTATGAAAAGAAAATGAAGGTTTCTTCCATTATGATTTATTTAAGACTCCAAAACTCACCTCCTTCTTTTTGATTCCGAAATGAGAGCGAGCAGAAGTGGCAGAGAAAGATTTTTGCCATCGAATTTTATATACTGAACACCAGCCAATAGGAAAAGAGCTTTCAAACATGAGCAAACGTCCCTTCCATTGTCGTCCATGCGTGTCTGATGTCATAAATCATCCTTCAAAGTTGGAAACCTTCAAAATTTCTGTCATTGAATGTCCGTCATTTTCTCTTCGAAATTACCTGTAATCATTGTTTTAAATATTTTCTCGTTGGGGATTTTCGTCAGGGGTCAGCAAGGAAGAACTAAGATAGTCAAATATTCTTTTTCAGAATCGCTAATGAATACTTAATTAGAACCGACATCATGCAGTATGTTTTTAACGCTCGAATAATAGCTTTTTTGAACACAGATTATTCTTATTTCCTTTATCTTAAAAATTTTAAAACTTAAATGTCAAATTTCATCCTGTCACAAAAATACCAAGGCAGTGCATGTTTTAATTCAAGTCATGTCAATTTAACAATAGATTATTGTTATGTGTCTTAATTGGTTTGATGTTAGGCAAAATGCAGTGCATGACCATCGAAAACTGGTACTTTAGTTCTACAAAATCTCGTGGATTTAAGTTTGTTCTTTCGACTTTCAGGCGTCTTTGTGTAATTTGTTAAGGAATATTTGACCAAAACAACGCAGTATATTTCAGATGAGGAAATATTGGTCTTGTAGAGAAACTTGAGATTTTTTTATCCAAATTCCTTGGAAATTTTTAATGTGCTCCACGAATTTTATTTTTTATTGTCTCCCCCTCCTTTATGTATCCCCTCGTTTGTTTTATAAAGATTTAAATTTCATAGCTTACATGTATGTGCATTCATGTTTTACCCTGTTCTTGAAAACTCTCTCGATCGATCGATCGATCGATGAGATGAGATTTATCCTCATACATATATATTGATAGAGAGGTCTAAAGTTCCTGTAATTAAGATTTCTCATGAAAAAAAAAAATTGAGTAAAGTGTTGCAGATACGATTGAGGAAAGTAATAAGACGAAATTGTTCCCTTTGTATATTTTTACTTTTAGCCAAAGTTATTAGTGCATGATTCTTAAATCTTTAAAATTTGAAACAACATAAGATGTAAAATAGCTTTTACTGAAATACATGCGGAATGAGGTATCAAAAGTTATATCTAACAAATTTCGTGCCTATAAAACTTTCATCTTTCGCCGAAATGGTATCACGTACGATTTAACTTGAATACATTATTTGTAATTTTCGTCCTCTTTAAGCTCAAGTAATACAATATTTGATTAATGAACGTGACAAATAAGAAGTTCATCTTTGGGAAAAAACAATGATCGATGAAATCTAAATTAACTTTATTTGGAATTATGAAAATATTTTTTTAAAATATTTTCATGCACGTGTCGAATTAAGTGTGAATTGAGAATACGAAATTTGTGGAAATAGTGAGTACATTCAATTAATACTATTTTCAATGAGATACTGAAACAATAAAAATTACGTTACATTTAACAATTAATTTTCACATTACATCTTTATTAATGTTATGTCACTTGATGATAAAAAGTGTAAATATTTTTAGTTCTCAATTAAGTTTTTCCCCTCCTTGGTCTAGAATTTAAAATGTCAAAAGGTATTAGTGGGGAATTCATTTTTCATTGCAATCATGTTTTCATTTGCTCTATAGTCATTAAAAATCACCTCATTTAATTACAGACACTCGCTATTTATGAGCAAACTTCGTGCTGCTAACATGATTGCCTCTAGAATAATAATTATTTTAGATGAATTGTCATTCTCTCATTCAAACTATTCCGACAACAATTCTAATAACAATTTTCTAAAAAAATGACCTGCATTATTGCATTTCATTCTGCTATGATTTAGGTTATATTAACTTGATGAGGAAAAACTATCAAAATCTTAACGTGTTTCCGGAAAGAAAAATAGAATTAAAACATTGCGTGTATTGTATCCATGTGTTGGTAAAGGGGGGGGGGGGGGGGTAATTGACTTTTTTTGTAGAATAAGAAATTATGACTACATGTATGTAGCGGTGATGAAAATTTTGAAAATGTAGCAGTAATGATACGCAACCGAATTTGTTTTCAATTGCACAATGTCATTTGATATTTATTACTATGTTGATTTCAGAAAGTCTACATTTTTTTCTATCATAAAATCGTGATGATTTTACTTTACCAAATGAAAGAAATCTCGACTTGTGGTTAAAAGTAACCACGGGTCTGTCCTCCAGTATAATAATTAAATCAGGAATACCAACACGTAATCAATCAAAATTTAAATTAAGAGATTATTTTCTGCTTGTTGGTATGAACATATTTTATAGCCTTTATGTTATAAAATGTTAGAGAAAATACTGTAAACTCATGATTTAAAGTTATTCTCATGTTTAGTTCTCCTCGCATACTAGTATACGTTAATAATTTAAAATACACGTATCGTTGCTGGCAGGGTACTGTCATGTTGTAAATTTTGAATTTACCGGGTGGCAATAAATACAAAATTTACAACATGACAACTAGTTGTCATGTTGTAAATTTTGTATTTACTGCCACCCGGTAAATTCAAAATTTACAACATGACAGTACTCTAAATCTACTTTATCCAACTGAGTACTTTTACGGGTACATTTTTAAAATATAATTTGAGAATTTATCTTTGACTTTTTAATTTAAACAATAGGTCCATGAGACATATCGCTCACCTGGTCATATTGGCTCGCTCGTCTGATCACATTGGCGAAAAAAGCAAAAATTGGTTAAGTATTGAAAAGTTTTAACTAAAATGGGGGGGGGGGGGGTATAGCAGTTGTCTTGCTGTTATTGAACAGAAGATATTTGAAGATTTTTTCCGAATATATAAAAGTTTAAATATGCAATTTTGAAAATAAATAAATTTTTTAATATTTTTTTATATAATGTTAATGAATTTAACTATCCAAATTTTTATTGGGGAAATACTCAGTAAAGTCATCTGAGATAGGACCCTCTATCTTAAAAAGATTTCGTACTCTAACTGTGGACTGTTGATGAGCACAGATTTATTCTAACTAGAGTCTTCTATCATTAATTTAATTTCAAAGCATTAAAACTGCATCGTTCATATCTGCATAATATACTAAAAATACAGCAGTTATACAGTGTGAAAAATGTTTGGGGAGGCAATAGGTCAAAAGTATTTAGATTGAAAGAGATTTTTTTTTAAAAATAAAAGGCGAAGGTTCCTTGATTCAGTTGACATTTTCCGGAAATATTTACTTTAGTTCAGATCGTTTCTTTGGTATAGATAAATCGCTAACGTGTTTCCGGTTCCGTTCAAAACAAAACCAGACAGACAGATATCTAATTACATCCATAATTCAATTAAGCACAGTTAAATACGAACTCTGTTTGATTGAAATGGTCCACAGATGAAGAAAAAAATGTTTTCAAAGTTCTCCAATATTCTTCATCATGCAGTTGAGGCGGTATGTAAATATGTGTTAATCTGATTTTCTTTTCAAGTCATGCATCCCCCTCCTTTTCCCGAAATTAAAGCATTTGCGTACTAGTTCAGCAGTACTACTTACTTGTAAAAATAAAGTTGAGCCTGCTAGACTTTCAAGTAATTTCACAAATATTACAATTGTCAATGTTTTTCATGCCATCTCTTTCTTTCAAGCAAGATAAAAGATAGGTTTAAAAAAAAAAAAAAACAATGGATACATGTGTCACAGACTCACAAGGTCGGTCTTGTTTCATAAAAAAAAAACTGGTTCTGTCAATTTTACATAAATTATTTGAATTGCTGAATAAGAAAAACCTAGAAAATAGAAAAAAAAACTGCACTCATATAAATAAAACAGACATAGATAATCACGAAACATAAATATTAAACATTAACAAAAAGTAATGTTAATTAAAATATTGATATGGCTGCCAAAAGATCAATAATAGCGAGCTCAATAGACTAACGTGTACGAACGGAGGAAATTCTGGTTAAAATCTGCACATTGTTCCAAGAAATTTTTATCTCACCACGTGAAAAAATTCTGAACTCCCAATAATCCTTTGCGGTGCTTAGCAACATGGTGGCTAAAACATAGCAACAACTTACTTGAAAAAAATCACAAACAACAATTTAATGCAATCTCCATGCCACAAAACTATCGTTTGCGTTCTAAGTCAACCGGACTTTTTATTTGACGTCATACTTTCGTCACATAAACGGCTCGGGCATTTCTGATTTTGTCGGAAACTTCCGAAAAGTTCAGAATCTCGATTCCGATGCCTGGGAAGTGATTTATTATTATTTTTTTCTTCTTTTTTAATGAACTGAGGATAGGCAGTGCAAGTAAAAGCTGCGTAAAGGTTTTTGACAGTAAATAACTGCGCTCGCCCTAACGGTTGCACCGTAGAACATATTAGGTTTAACAGTGTGACTGTTGGGGCGAGCACAGTCCTATACTCAGCTTACAGTTGAGTTGTTGATCCCTTTTTCAAACGTCAAAACACATGAGGCACAGTTTAGACTGTGAAGTCATGTGACATTGGAATATACAGAGACAGCCAAGCATCTGGTTCAATGTGACTACAGGTCTTGTGCATGTACATGTAAATGTCTTTAGACTAACATTTTGGTGCCAGATCCATTATGATGTCATAATCACTTTCAACTGTCTTTTTCCCGTACTCTACAGTCCACTAGAATAATGTGGAGAAAAAAGTATTTTCATGGAATTTAATTGGAAATCACATGAAAAGTGGTTCCGATAGCTATATTAAATTTGATACTACATATATTTTAAAGAAGAGGTCATTAAGTACAATTTAACGTTTTCTGAGAGGCAATCTGGATACATTTCCTTTGTATAATATGAAAAAAACTCCCAAATTCATGAATGGTTTCATACATGAGATAAGTTCTGGACTTAAATACTGTACAGGAGCCTTAAAAACACTGGAATTTGGATGAAAATACTGTTCAAACTTATTTAAAAAATGTTTTCTCAATTTTTCATTAAAAAAGACAGTATTAAAGATGGTTTTTCATCTTGTTTACATACAAATTATGCCCAAAACACCTTATATGACCAAGCTAAAGTTGTAAAGCATCATTAAAGGAATTTATTTCTCAAATTTGATAAATCTGTAGGCATCTTTCATTTAATAGATCTTGACCTTAAGCTTTATGCAAATAAAGAAAAGTAAACATTTCTTGGTACAATTATTCTTGGTCTTTTATATATTTTGTAATAATTTCGCATGGAACCTTGGTACCAAGGAATTCTGGGAATGTTGCACAGAAAAATTTGCCTGACATACGTACAGATTTCATTTGGAATTTCCCCAGTTCATACACCTTAGACTTTTGAGCTCTCCGCGGTAACTATTACATATAATTAGCAAGTAAATGAAATACAAGATCAATTTACTCCTACCAGGCATCCAGTATTAAGTTCTGAAATAAAATAACAACATCAATTGAATCAATCTATACTTGAAACTTAAGTCAATTTTACCGTAAATGCACAAAAGTATGGGGTTGGGGAATTTGGCAGGTTTTTTTACAATCAGTTCATCAGTAAGGTCACATTAGGTCACCTAACCAGAAACACATGGAAATACTAAAATAAACATTGTCACATGATCTCTGAAAACATTCACACAAGACACACAATACAAATGCAGTGAACGAGTTTAATGCGCCAAACTCTCCTATGATAGAGGCGCAAAAAAGTATCCATTTCGGCAGGGAGATGGGACAGGTTGTTTCTGAATACAAACGTGCATAAGTAAATGAACGATATTTATGGCTTTTAAAATTTAATAAATGATATAAAAAGATAATGATATTAAGCAGTGATGCATTTGATGATTTTATCAAGTTCAACTATGCATATTTACAAATCTACTTTAAATTATAGGTACTTGAAAACAAAAGAAACTTCGTAGTCTTAATAAAAAGTAACCCATTTCTTGATTGTACAAGTTTGTGGGTTTTTTGAAGTTATAATAAGGAAATAATCAATGTGTAATTTAGATCGCCTACGTACAATGATCAGATGCATGTGTACCGTTTTTATTAGAGGTCCAAATTTCTTCCCTCGTCTGAAAAGTCTCACATCCACCGACATTTTCTTTTTTGTTACGATTTATTTGTTTTAAAAAATGACGTCTTTAAATAAATTTAGTTATTCTCGAAATGTAGAGTGCATCCTGACAATGAAGTAGTTATGATAAACCAGTATATCGATGATACAATGTATCCAATATATAAATATCAAATATATATATTTGTCCCACCTGTTTGTTTACGCGGCAACGAAACTCCCCTCCTCAACTAAAGAGTGCACCAAGGGAGATAATCTCGAAACTTGTGTATGTGTATTGGCAATGCATGTCAATTGTATGAAGAAATGAAAATATAACATGTTACATCTGTGACGCATGATATGATATTTAATCAAGTACGTCTTATATACATAAATAAACAACTTAATTGTTTTAAATTACTGTAAAGTTTACATGCTGAAATGTTTCTTATTATAGCTTGCACCTCAACTGTCCTTGAAAGAAGAATTTGTATACCATTGGAAGGCTGTAACCACTTTCTTTATGGATAACAAAGGTATGGACTTTTCTGTACACATTAAAGTCTCTCGGACAAAATACTAGATGACTTCCTACTGAAAATTAGTTATGCCATAATGATAAAACTGATGAGTTCACTTTTGATGTTGGTCTCTATTTACACAAAAAATTCCCTTTGTAAAGGTAATACTGAGATCAAAATGTGAATTCATCTAAGTTTTATTGCCCCAGATATTGATGTGTCTGTTTTCTCCAGAGAATTTCTACTGTTGATTTGAGGACAATAGTAAGGTTATACTATCATACAGAATTTTTTAAGAACTCTCAAACATGTGTAATGGTATTTTGTGTTATTTTGTGGTTTTTTTAACCTATCAAGTTACCCTTTCTTTGAAGATTTTGTTAAATCATGGTAAAATATTAGTCATATGCATGTGACAGAGATAGGTCTTCTTATGTATTTGCAGCAATAATTGAGATTTTAGGTAGTTTAATGGTATTTTCAAAAAAGGCACATTTTTCCCGATGCTTGCAACAAAATGGGAAAAAAAAGAAGAATATTTTTAACATATTTACAACGTAGTTTACTACAGAGGAAACCTGTATTAATCTGTCAATTATTTTAACCATCTTAATCATTTTATGAGAAGTATTTAAAACTCAGAGATTTTGTTAACAATGGCCCTAATCTCAGCAGTCACAAAAATACTATATTTATTGCAAAATACAGAAGAAAATGACAAGATTATCTGATCAATTTGATATTTGTTAAGGGGAAAAGTTGCCAATAGATCAGACCCAGATTCCCGAGCACCTGGATCAGATGGTGGTTTTGTTGACAGAGGAGGAAAAGATAGAGCAGCTGGACAGTACAGGACCGTGTATGGAGTACCTCCTACAACACAAGCTCCTAGAGACTCTGTACTCACTGGGCAGGACTGATGTAAGTACATGTAGTACAACACAAACTCCTGGAGACTCTGTACTCACTGGGTAGAACTGATGTAAGTATATGTAGTACAATACAAACTCCTGGAGACCCTGTACTCAATGGGTAGAACTGATGTAAGTATATGTAGTTACTGTACAACATGCAATGAAAGAGAACATTAGTACAACACAATATAGTACAATACATTATACTGAAGACTGTACTCACTGGGCAGAACTGATGTAAGTATATGTAGTTACTGTACAACATGCAATGAAAGACAACATTAGTACAACACAATATAGTACAACACAATGTACTGAAGACTCTGTACTCACTGGGCAGAACTTATGTAAGTATATGTAGTTACTGTACAACATGCAATGAAAGACAACATTAGTACAACACAACCTAGTACAGGAGGAGACTCTGTACTCATTGGGCAGAATGGATGTAAGTACATGTACATGATACAGCACATGTTAATACAGTACAATATTAAACAACCTAGTGCATTGCAACAAAACACAACATGACATAATACAATACAACCTAGTACAACACAACAAAGTACAATATGACATATTACTATAATACGTAATACAACACAATATAGAATGACACAACCTAGAATAACAAAAAGTACTAGAAACTCTGTACTCATTAAGCAGAACTGATGTGAGTACATGTACATGATGCATAACAACCTAGTACAACTCAAGATAGAACAATGCAACCTAGAATAACACAACATAATACAACATAACATAGAACAACACAACCTAGTACAACACAACCGAGTACAACACAACTCAGTACAAAACAACTCAGTACAAAACAATTTAGTATAACACAACATAGAACAACATAACATAGTACAACACAACCTAGAACAACACAGCCTAGTACAACATACCTTAGAACAACATAACATTTTACAACACAACTTAGTACAGCACAACCTAGTACAGCACAACCTTGTACAACAAAACCTAGTACAACACAACTTACTACAACATAACATAGAACAACATAACATAGTACAACACAACTTAGTACAACACAACCTAGTACAGCACAACTTTGTACAACACAACCTAGTACAACATAACATAGAACAACATAACATAGTACAACACAACTTAGTACAGCACAACCTTGTACAACACAACCTAGTACAGCACAACATAGTAAAACACAACCTAGAGCAACACAACCTAGTAAAACATAGCATAGAACAACATAACAAAGTACAACACAACCTAGTACAGCACAACATAGTACAACACAACTTATTACAGCACAACCTAGTACAGCACAGCCCAGAACAACACAACCTGATACAACACAAACTAGAACAACAAAACCTAGTATAACAAAATGTACTAGAAATTCTGTACTCACTAGACTTAACTGATGTAAGTACATGTACATGATACAACACAAGTAAACATGGTAAACACAGCAAAAAAGCAAAAAAAAGTTTAACAACCTAGTACAACACAACATATTGTAACACATGCAACATACCGGTATTACAACAAAACATATTATTAATGGAATACTGTATAAAAGCAGAAAATTTTGTTGGGGATTAAATTTCATTTATTTCATCATTAGCAATTAACAATGATATTAAATTCCACACAAATTTTCATATGACTATATATGTTGAATATAGTTACTTCTGAAAAGACGAAATTTAAAGCCCACAAAACCATTTTAGATAACAAATTACGAAATTTGATCCCAACAAAAGTTTGTGTTACTACAGTAGTAAAACACAATATATTATAGTAACACAACATATTACATTAATGTCAAACTCTGATTTGATTTGCCAAACATGATTGACTGATGTTGATAGAAATATACAGTATTCTTAGATGCTTAGATCCAGCATCTTTGATGACTGTGGGTTTTTGGAGCAAGTAGATTAAAATGTGTTCATCTTTCTCTTACTTATTAATTAGTTCCTAGCTATTACAGTATTTCCTTTCACGTACATTAAATACCAGTTAGTTGTGTTTGTAATGTACTATTAGACTGTCCTTTCATTGAATTTGACATTATAGACAACACATTACTAAGTTCATTCTAAAATAAAAATAATTATACTTGCTAAACTTGTCATTTTTTTTGTCACTGCTTAATTGACTATTGATCACAATACATCATTTTCAAAGTATACTGAAATTAATTAAAATTGTGGTCTATTACTGAGAAAAAAAACCCTGTCAATTATTTAATCGTTAATTTATTAAAATTTTTTGAAAGTTTCTAGAAGGAAATAGATTGACGTGTGCATGTTAATTAAGGGATTGCATCCAAGAATATCAATTATTGTTGTGAAACAGTAATATTCATAAAAATTCACATTTTTTGTCCTTTTAATTTATATATTATTTATTATAATACTTTTAGGGAGGTCAAACTAATCATGTTTATGAAATGCTAAATTTATTTTTGAAATCTTAATCTTGCAGTTGATAATTACTTCATTTTTCTTATTTAACATTTCAAAAAATATGTTTATGCATTTGAAAAAGGAAATAATTAATTGCATCATAGAAGTTTTAGCCTTTGGGTGACCTGCCCTACTTTTCATTCATTTTTCTCCCAACATGTCCAGCATGAACTCTTTTAGTGAAATTTGAATAAATTATATTTTTCTCTCTATTTACATAATTTAAATTTTTCTGTGATTTTTCTGTTAATTATCAAAATATTCTCTAACTATATTTTCAATGTCATGTTTTTTTTCCCTTCACTGTGTGTTCAATGATTATCTTAATTATATATACAAATTTACACAAATGCTAGAGATGGAGTATTGAGACAAATTCACATTTTCTGCTTTAATTAATTCACACAAGTAATTTTGAAAAGTTCATTCATGTAATTTTAACTTTGTATCATTTCAGCATCCTCCAGGCATGAAACAAATAGTTCATTAGAGTTCTTTATCCAAGTTGAAAATCATTTTAATGTTAGCATCAATTTAAAGTGTTTTATAAAACAGCCTATCTTGGCAACCGGCTTAAGGCATTGTTTTCTCTCTAGCCTGCACTTTAGGGCTGTAAAATCTGTATGAATATGTTCATTATGTTTTCTCTCTAAAAGATTATCCTAATTATATATACAAATTTACACAAATGCTAGAGATGGAGTATTAGAGACTCACATTTTTCTGCTTTAATTACTTAACTTAAATTTATATATATTACAATGCGATGAGATTACAATGCGAGGATTATTTAATCACTTCCTCATATCCTTATAGTCTTTGAGATGTTGGAGTTCTAGATTCTGATTTCGTTGAACTATATAAAATTTTTTCTTTTTATTTATTCAGAGAAAGGGAATGTAAATCATGGAATGTTTATTCATAATGATATAAAAAATATCAAATTATCAACACTAGTGGAATTATAACATGTGTTTTGAATTATAATTATCGACAAAAGAGTACCAACTGGTATGATGGGAATACAACAGTTTTGATTTTATGGTGTGCACATGTCTGTTAAATTGAAAAATCAAATTTTTGGAGAACATAGCATTCATTAAGCCAACCACAATAATGAGCATATAGAATACCAATTAACTGTAGTTACCTAACGAATCGTCACCTGTAACGAGAGAAAACTTCAGAATTAGCAATCATTTAGATATTCCTATCTCTTATTTGTTGACTGATAAAAAATGAAAACATGAAAGCAAAATGAAAGGACTGCAGACCTAGGTATTATATTTAATTTCAACAAATGCACCTACATTATTTACATTTCTAGTAAAGAATACAGTCTATTAATTTAATAAGATACTATGCCAGCATGCAATCACCCCCAACCCCATACCACTCCCTACCAATTTTTATCAAATTTTAGTTAATTCTTTTAAGCAGTATATGTTTATGAACAATTATAATGAACATGATAAGAGATTTGAAAAAAACAATTACAGAATTACAATTCATAATTGTAACAAGAGGACCAAGAAGTGAAACATCCCTCGCAAAGAGCATTTCTATAAATCAAATCAAGACATCGATCCTAATGCAAATTATGTCACTTTGCATTTCACACAAAGACAAACTATCACACACATACAAACACGTTACTACATCTCTTTCTGTTGTGAGGGGATAATACATGTAAAAGTATTAAAGAGTGCAACTTAAATTGATACAATTATATAACCTACAGCATTATGTGCAGTATTATTGTTACAAATTTAAGAGTGCATTTTTAATACTGATGGGTGAATGCTCTTTTGAAATTGATTTTATGGACTTTTTAATTCTTTTTTCTCAGCGGCTGGTCAAGGCATGTGGTGAAGTCCAGGCAGCCCCCACAGAATCGGAGGAAATTCAGTTTTTGTGCACTGTGTGTTCCATAGTGAAATCTACTCCCTATTTAGTCAACTTCTTTATTGAGGTGAGGACTGTAGATCACTTAATTTTCGTGACACCTTATTTTCGTGAGATAGTCATTGACTCTTGATTAGCGAGACAAAATTTTCACAAATTGTGGTTATTGCTCTATATAATCTTAAGGAATGCTATTATACGCGAGAATTAAATTTTCGTGAGCACACTGTCTCATGTAATAACACGAAAATATAAAGTTCTCACGAATAAAAAGTGATTTACAGTATTATATTGGAAACGCTTAGCATCGTATATTTAGTGTATAATGTACTGTATTACATATATTGTAGAGGAGTTGGGGGGTATCAATTAACAAGATTTCAAATTGTCCACCTATTTTTGAAAATATCTGTTTCAAGTGTAAATTTTAAATTTCTGTAAATCTGTAGCTCATAGTAAAACTTGAATGGTATGTGACACTCACGTGACCGTTAAG